GGCTGCCTCAAAAAAAAAAAAAAAAAAAAAAAATCAGCCATATTCTATCACAGGAGTCTTTAATATAATAATACTATAATTCTTCAATTCAAAGACATACATTTTCACCTTATGACTATACTCCAGTTGTATCTTAACAATTGATGGCATGGCATGGTAAATCTGGTAGAATTACATAAAATAATGTGTCTTAGATTTAATGAAATGTAGTCTTTTCTTTTTTTCTTTTTTTTTTTAATAGAGACAGGGTTTCACCATGTTGGCCAGGATGGTCTCGAACTCCTGACCTCAGGTGATCCACCCACCTTGGCCTCCCAAAGTGCTGGGATTACAGGCATGAGCCACTGAGCCTAGCCAGAAATGTAGTCTTAAACACAGAATAGGAGAAGCATGTACAGATAGAGCAAATTGATCATCTTTGACAAACCTGACAAAAACAAGCAATGGCGGAAGGATTCCCTATTTAATAAATGGTGCTGGAAAAACTGGCTAGCCATATGCAGAAAACAGAAACTAGATCCCTTCCTTACATCTTATACAAAAATTAACTCAAGATGGATTAAAGACTTAAATGTAAAACCTAAAAACCTTAGAAGAAAACCTAGGCAATACTATACAGTATATAGGCACGGGCGAAAACTTCCTGACTAAAATACCAAAAGCAATTCTAATGAAAGCCAAAATTGACAAATGGGATCTAATAAAATGAAAGAGCTTCTGTACAGCAAAGAAACTATTATCAGAGTGAACAGGCAACCTACAGAATGGGAGAAAATTTTTGCAATCTATCCATCTGACAAAGGACTAATATCCAGAATCTGTAAGGAACTTAAACAAATTTACAAGAACAAAAAATCCCATCAAAAAGTGAGCAAATGATATGAACAGACACTTCTCAAAAGAAGACATTTATGCAGCCAACAAACATATGAAAAAAAGCTCATCATCACTGATCATTAGTGAAATGCAAATCAAAACCACAAAGAGATACCATCTCTCACCAGTTAAAATGGTGATCATTAAAAAGTCAAGAAACAACAGATGCTGGCAAGGCTATGGAGGAGTAGGAATGCTTTTACACTGTTGGTGGGAGCGTAAATTAGTTCAGCCATTGTGGAAGACAGTGTGGCAATTCCTCAAGGATCTAAAAATAGAAATAACATTTGACCCAGCAATCCCATTACTGGGTAAATACCCAAAGGATTTTAAATCAGTCTACTATAAAGGCACATGCACACATATGTTTATTGCAGCCCTATTTACAATAGCAAAGACTTGGAACCAACCCAAATGCCCATCAATGATAGACTGGCTAAAGAAAATGTGGCACATATACACCATTAAATACTATGCAGCCATGAAAAATAATGAGTGCATGTCCTTTTTGGGGACATGGATGAAGCTGAAAACCATCATCCTCAGCCAACAAACACAGGAACATAAAGCCAAACACCACATGTTTTCACTCATAAGTGGCAGTTGAACAATGAGAACACATGGACACAGGGAGGAGAACATCACACTCCAGAGCCTATCAGGGTGTGGGGGGCACAGGGAAAGAGGGCATTAAGACAAATACCATAAGAGGCTTAAAACCCGGCCGGGCACGGTGGCTCAAGCCTGTAATCCCAGCACTTTGGGAGGCCGAGGCGGGTGGATCACAAGGTCGAGAGATCGAGACCAACCTGGTCAACATGGTGAAACCCCGTCTCTACTAAAAATACAAAAAATTAGCTGGGCATGGTGGCGCGTGCCTGTAATCCCAGCTACTCAGGAGGCTGAGGCAGGAGAATTGCCTGAACCCAGGAGGCGGAGGTTGCGGTGAGCCGATATCGCGCCATTGCACTCCAGCCTGGGTAACAAGAGCGAAACTCTGTCTCAAAAAAAAAAAAACCTACATGACAGGTTGATGGGTGCAGCACACTGCCATGACACATGTATAACTATGTAACAAACCTGCACATTCTGCACATGTATCCCAGAACTTAAAGTAAGATTTAAAAAAAAAATAGTCCAGGTGCGGTGGCTCACACTGCAATCCCAGCACTTTGGGAGGCTGAGGCAGACAGATCACCTGAGATCAGGAGTTCGAGACCAGCCTGACCAACATGGAGAAACCCTGGCTCCACTAAAACTACAAAATTAGCACGGTGTGGTGGTGCATGCCTATAATCTCAGCCACTTGGGGGACTGAGGCAGGAGAATCGCTTGAACCCGGTTGGTGGGGGTTGCAGTGAGCTGAGATGGCACCATTGCACTCCAGCCTGGGCAACTAGTGCAAAACTCTGTCTCAATAATAATAATAATAACATTTATTTATTTATTTATTTATTTATTTTAAAGATGGGGTTTCACCATGATGGCCAGGCTGGTCCTGAAATCCTGACCTCAGGTGATCCACCCACCTCAGCCTCCCAAAGTGCTAGGATTATAGGCGTGAGCCACCTCACCCGGCCCAATAATAACATTTAAAAAGAAATGCTATTTTTTTAAAAAGACTGGGTGCGGTGACTCACGCCTGTAATCCCAGTATTTTGGGAGGCCTAGGAGGGTGGATCACAAGGTCAGGAGTTACAGCCAGCCTGGGCAACATGGTGAAACCCAGTTTCTATTTTAAAAAATACAAAAAATTAGCTGGGTATGGTGGCAGACGCCTGTAATCCCAGCTATTCGGGAGGCTGAGGTGGGAGAATTGCTTGCACCCAGGAGGCAGGGGTTGCAGTGAGCTGAGATTGTGCCACTACACTCCAGTGTGGGCAAGAGAGTGAGACTCTGTCTCAAAAAAAAAAAAGAAAGAAAGAAAAAAGAAATAAAATAAAACAAATTGAAATGAAAAACATGATCCTAGGAAAAAATGTATAAGGCATACATATATATACATTTGTATATAATTTAGGAATTTACAAGCCCCTATACCAAGCATCTATGGATCCTAGGTTAAGAATGCTTCACATTATAGAACAGAGACAATTATAGAAAAATTTATAGAACTTTAGACAATTATAGAACAAAGTTCTAATGTTTTAATGGATCTTTGCAAACATGTATTACAATATAAATGTAATTTAAAGCAAATGTAATCACCAACACATACATATAGAAAAGCTAGTGTTAATACATTCTTTAAGTCTCAGGGTTGGAACCAACGTTTGGTTTGAAGAATGGTATTGTTAATCAAAATCAATGTCTCAGCCAGGCGCAATGGCTCACACCCGTAATACCAGCACTTTGGGAGGCTGAGGCAGGGGGATCACGAGATCAGGAGATAGAGACCAGCCTGGCCAACATGGTGAAACCCCGTCACTACTAAAAATACAAAAAAATTAGCTGGACATGGTGGTGGGTGCTTTTAGTCCCAGCTATTCAGCAGGCTGAGGCAGGAGAATTACTTGAACCCAGGAGGCAGAGATTGCAGTGAGCCGAGATCACACCACTGCACTACAGCCTGGGTGACAGTGTAAGATGCTGTCTCAAAAAAAAAAAAAATTAATGTCTTATATAATTCAACTAAGAACTTTGGGAGAATAACTCTCCTTACCCTTACCTTTCATATGTTTATTAGCAAGGGCCATTCATTTCAAAAAATCAAATGCTATAGACATAGTATTAAAACTAGCACTTCAGAGAAGGTGTTGATACAAGATGATCAGATTTCCTTCCTTCCTTCCTTCCTTCCTTTTTTTTTTTCTTTTTTAACAGAGTCTCACTCTATTGCCCAGGATGGGGTGTGGTGGTATGATCTCAGCTCACTGCAACCTCTGCCTCCCAGGTTCAAGCGATTCTCCTGCCTCAGCCTCATAAGTAGCTGGGAATACAGGCACAGGCCACCATGCCCGGGTAATTTTTGTATTTTTAGTAGAGATGGGTTTTCACCATGTTGGCCAGATTGGTCTTGATCTCCTGACCTTGTGATCCACCCATCTTGGCCTCCCAAAGTGCTGAGATTACAGGCATGAGCCACTGCGCCTGGCCAATGATCAGATTTTATTTTGCTATCTTGCCTAATTCCACTGTGGGGGATTGTTTGATACCTAAATGTTGCATGTTATTTTAAAAGGAAAATAAATTAAAATCATTTTATGTGTTGTATTAAGTACTTTCCCCCCAAAATTCTTTAAGTGATGCAAAAGTTCAAATATGGCAACAATCATGCATAATAAGGAATTTAATATCAGATGATGACACTAACCAGAAACAGTTAAAAAAATGTCCAAATTGCCGGGCATGGTGGCTCGAGCCTGTAATCCCAGCACTTTGGGAGGCCGAGGCGGGTGGATCACGAGGTCAACAGATCGAGACAATCCTGGTCAACATAGTGAAACCCTGTCTCTACTAAAAATACAAAAAATTAGCTGGGCATGGTGGCGCGTGCCTGTAATCCCAGCTACTCAGGAGGCTGAGGCAGGAGAATTGCCTGAACCCAGAAGGCGGAGGTTGTGGTGAGCCGAGATCGCGCCACTGCACTGCAGCCTGGGTAACAAGAGCGAAACTCCGTCTCAAAAAAAAAAAAAAATGTCCAAATTAAAACAGGCCTTACCTGGCAGAGATTTATTATTCTTTAAAATAATATTTAAAAAATACACATAACATCTTAATTTAACTGACTAAGAATATTTAAGTTTAAATAAAGTTATTTGTAGTGATCATTAATAATTTAATCCATGGGCCGGGCGCGGTGGCTCAAGCCTGTAATCCCAGCACTCTGGGAGGCCGAGGCGGGTGGATCACGAGGTCAAGAGATCGAGACCATCCTGGTCAACATGGTGAAACCCCGTCTCTACTAAAAATACAAAAAATTAGCTGGGCATGGTGGCGCGTGCCTGTAATCCCAGCTACTCAGGAGGCTGAGGCAGGAGAATTGCCCGAACCCAGGAGGCGGAGGTTGCGGTAAGCCGAGATCGCGCCATTGCACTCCAGCCTGGGCAACAAGAGTGAAACACTCCGTCTCAAAAAAAAAAAAAAATAATAATAATAATAATAATAATAATTTAATCCATTACCATATTTCAGTGTGAGGGATGTTTCAAATAGTAAGGCTGCAATCAGTACATCTTCTTTACGCACTTCGTTCCTTAAGTTCAGTCGTGCATGGGCTTCAGATAGGGAAACGCTAAAAAAGAAAATAGTTGCCAATCAAAATATGTTGATATTATTAAAATAATGTATATTTTTGCGGGAACAAACCAAGAAACATGTGAACCCTAGCCACACCTAAAGCATATTCTTACTTAAAAAAATTTTTTTTTGTTTCTTTTCAAAGCACTTTTTTTCTTACCAACTTAGACTGTTCCAGAACAAGCCAGTATCCTGACTTATTATCAAAGAGTTGGTTTCCCAACATCATCCTGATACCAAAACCCGGCAGACACAACTAAAAAAGAAAACTTCAGGCCAATATCCATGATGAATCTCGATGCAAAAATCTTCAATAAAATACTAGCAAACTGAATGCAACAGCACATCAAAAAGCTTATCCATCATGATCAAATAGACTTCATCCTGGGGATGCAAGGCTGGTTTAACATGCGCAAATCTATAAACGTAATCCATCACATAAACAGAACCAAAGACAAAAACCCCATGATTATCTCAATAAATGCAGAGAAGTTCTTCAACAAAATTCAAAAGCCCTTTGTGCTAAAAACTCTCAATAAACTAGGTATCGATGGAACATATCTCAAAGTAATAAAAGCAATTTATGACAAACCCACAGCAAATAGCATACTGAATGGGCAAAAACTGGAAGCATTCCCTTTGAAAACTGGCACTAGACAAGGGTGCCCTCTCTCACCCTTCCTATTCAACATAGTATTGGAAGTTCTAGCCAGAGCAATCGGGCAAGAAAAAGAAATAAAGGATATTCAATTAGGAAAAGAGGAAGTCAAATTGTCTCTATTTACAGATGTCTCTATTTGCAGATGATTGTATATTTAGAAGATCCCATCATCTCAGCCCAAAATCTCCTTTAGATGATAAGCAACTTAAGCAAAGTCTCAGGATACAAAATCAATGTGCAAAAATCACAAGCATATTCCTATGTACCAATAACAAACAAACAGAGAGCCAAATCATGACTGAACTCCCATTCACAATTGCTACAAAGATAATAAAATACCCAGGAATACAACTAACAGAGGATGTAAAGGACCTCTTCAAAGAGAACTACAAACCACTGCTCAAGGAAATAAGAGAGGACACAAACAGATGGAAAAGCATTCCATGCTCATGGTTAGGAAGAATCGATATTGTGAAAATGGCCATACTGTCCAAAGTAATTTATAGATTCAATGCTATCCCCATCAAGCTGCCATTGGCCTTCTTCACAGAATTGAAAAAAAGCTTAAACTTCATATGGAACCAAAAGAGAGAGACTGCATAGCCAACACAATCCTAAACAATAAGAACAAAGTCAGAGGCATCACACTACCTGACTTCAAACTATACAACAGGGCTACAGTAATCAAAACAGCATGGTACTGGTACCAAAACAGAGATATAGACCAATGAAACAGAACAGAGGCCTTAGAAGTAGTGCTGCATATCTATAACCATCTGATCTTTGACAAACCTGACAAAAATAAACAATGGGGAAAGGATTCCCTGTTTAATAAATGATGTTGGGAAAACTGGCTAGCCACATGCAGAAAGCCAAAACTGGACCCCTTCCTTTCACCTTATACAAAAATTAACTCCAGATGGATTAAAGATTTAAATGTAAGACCTAACACCATAAAAACCCTAGAAGAAAACCTAGGCAATACCATTCAGTATACAGGCATAGGCAAGGACTTCATGACTAAAACATCAAAAGCAATGGCAAAAAAAAAAAGCCAAAATAGACAAATGGGATCTAGTTAAACTTAAGAGCTTCTGCACAGCAAAAGAAACAATCTTTAGAGTGAACTGGCAACCAACAGAATGGGAAAAATTTTTTGCAAGCTACTGTCTGACAAAGGACTAATATCCAGAATCTACAAAGAACTAAAACAAATTTACAAGAAAAAAACAAGCGACTCCATCAAAAAGTGGGCAAAGGATATGAACAGACACTTTTCAAAAGAAGGCATTTATGTAGCCAACAAATATATGAAAAAAACTCATCATCATTTGTCGTTAGAGAAATGCAAATCAAAACCACATGGAGCTATCATCTCACACCAGTTAGAATGGTGATCATTAAAAAATCTGGAGACAACAGATGCTGGAGAGGATGTGGAGAAATAGGAACATTTCTGCACTGTTGGTGGGAGTGTAAATTAGTTCAACCATTGTGGAAGACAGTGTGGTGATTCCTCAAGGATCTAGAAATAGAAATACCATTTGACCCAGCAATCCCATTACTGGGTAAATATCCAAAGGATTATAAAGCATTCTATTATAAAGACACATGCACATGTATGTTCACTGAGGTCCTGTTTACAATAGCAAAGACCTGGAACCAACCCAAATGCCCATCAATGATAGACTGGATAAAGAAAATGTGGCACATATACACCATTGAATACTATGCAGCCATGAAAAAGAATGAGTGCATGTCCTTTGCAGGGACATGAATGAATCTGGAAACCATCATTCTCAGCAGACTGACACAACAGAAAACCAAACACTGCATGTTCTCACTCATAAGTGGGTGTTGAACAATGAGAATACATGAGCACAGGGAGGGGAACATCACACACTGGAGTCTGTTGGGGGCTGGGGAGCTAGGAGAGGGATAGCTGGGGGTGGGGAGGAATGGGGAGGGATAACATTGGGAGAAATACCTAATGTAGGTGACAGGGGGATGGAGGCAGCAAACCACCATGGCATGTATATACCTATGTAACAATATTGTAAGATCTGCATGTGTACCCCATAACTTAAAGTATAATATTAATAATAATAAAAGAGTTGGTTTTCATCCCAGCATTCATTTATCATTCCACAGTCCCCTCCCCAAGTTTTGTTCAGATAAATACACAGTTGAGAAAATTAATCTAACTAAATATCTTTTACAGAAAAATCCTTGACTTTTGCTTTTAGTCCCTCATTTATCTAAAATCCTCATACATTTGCAAGATGTTTGTTTGCAATTTCAGCATTGGAAGGGATCTTAGAATTCAAAGTTCAAACTCTCATCAGAAAACTAAATTTCCTCTACAATATCCTGGGCTATTCATTTTCCCACCTCTTTTGTTTTGTTTTGTTTTTTTGAGACGGAGTTTCGCTCTTGTTGCCCAGGCTGGAGTGCAATGGCGCGATCTCGGCTCACCGCAACCTCCACCTCCTGGGTTCAGGCAATTCTCCTGCCTCAGCCTCCTGAGTAGCTGGGATTACACGCACACGCCACCATGCTCAGCTAATTTTTTGTATTTTTAGTAGAGACGGGGTTTCACCATGTTGACCAGGATGGTCTCAATCTCTTGACCTCGTGATCCACCTGCCTCGGCCTCCCAAAGTGCTGGGATTACAGGCTTCAGCCACCGCACCCGGCTTTCCCATCTCTTTTGCACTTCTCCTAGCATTCATGGCTTCATGAGGCAATCCATTCCTTTATTTTTAATTTTTCAACCAGCTTCCATTATCTGAAAGATCTCCTTTAAGCAAATGTGATGTACCTGAATGACTGCTGAACTTGAGAATCAGAAAACCTAGGCTGAGTCTCTGGAATTTACTAGCTGTACGACTTTGCATAAATCATTTAATGTATAAGATTTTTTGAAACTCAGCTATAAAAGGGAGATAAGTAAGGGCATTTGAAAGTTTTGCAACTAACTATAACTATAACTAACTATAACCAAGATTCTATCAATCTAAGCTGAAATTAGTTTCACTGCAATTTCTACCCACAGGTCTCTTGTTCTGTTTTCTGAGACCTCTTAATATGATGCTCTTCAGATATTCAAAGATAACTTTTCTGTTGCTCCAGGTTTTCTTTCCTCCAAGGTAAATATTTCTAATTCCTTTCCTATGTTATGAGATGTAATTTTCAGCTCCTCACCTTGCTTGCTACTCTCCTCATGATCTCATGTCATACAGTATGACAGGGGATTTGACCACCATAGTAGAGGTGAGGCATAACTAGCATTTTGTTGCTAGTGATATATGTTCTATTAATATGACCCCAACTTTCAGTATTTTTAATAGCCATGTTACATTATTTACTCCTATTAAACATAAAAAGAATGAAATACCAAATCCTTTTTATATCTTTTCATATTAAGCCGCATTACCATTTTCTCATCAATTCACACTGATACTAGGGAGTCTGGGCATCTAACAGAGAGCTTTACATTTATCCTATTAACTTTCTTCTTGTTAGATTAAGATAACAATTCAAGCTTATGAAGTTCTTTCCGATATTGCTCATTTATAAAAGTAATTATCATGTCTTTGATGTCTTCATCCAAGATCCTTCTAAAAATGTTAACTGGGACAGAATATGTATATAGCCTTTCAGAGACAAAGAAGAAAGTATTGTTCAGCTCTGCTTCTCTAGAAAAGCAAAGATGCTTGTGATTAGGTATCTGTCTGTAGAAATGGGAGAAAAATTCAAGGTTTATGACTCTTCTAGTTAGGGGTTCATTTACTCTGCTATTTCACAAACGATGTTTAGTATTTCTTCAATGTGAAAAAGTAGAGTTATCATATTACAATTAACTATTTTTGAATCAACATACTCATATGTAAACTGAGTTACAAATACAAAACATATTTTTACTACAGAGAAAATAATATTATGAGAAAATAGAACTTTTAAAGCAAATAGTGGCCAGGAGCGGTGGCACACACCTGTAATCTCAGCACTTTGGGAGGCCAAGGCAGGTGGATCACCTGAGGTCAGGAGTTTGCAACTAGCCTAACTAACTGGTGAAACCCCATCTTTACTAAACACAAAAAAAATGAGCCAAGCATGGTGGCACATGCCTGTAATCTGATCTACTTGGGAGGTTGAGACAGGAGAATCACTTGTACCTGGGAGGCAGAGGTTGCAGTGAGCCAACGTTGCACCATTGCACTCCAGCCTGGGCAACAAGAGTGAAACTCCGTCTCATAATAATAGCAATATAATAAATAAAGCAAACAGTTTAATTTGATCTGAGTATTTTAAATATTACTTCAGAAAACAGAAGGCAACATATAATTCTGTTTACCATTTTAAAACATTTATCGAAGAGTTGACTTCTACTTGGCTTATCTTTAGCATTTTTCAGCTCTGTGAAGATAAATATACAGTTAGGGAAATTAACTAAACATATCTATATCTTACAGACTTATCCTTGACATTTTCTGCCAGTCCTTCATCTGTCTTATTTTATGTTGCAGTTTTAACAATATATTTATTTATTTAATAAATTATTTTACTCCTAGTTCTACTTCATAATTATTTTGAGATACTTTAATACTATATCAAATAAAGTACTTTAATACTATATCAAATAAAGTAATATTCTATCAATAGGAGACTGTTTATAATACAGCTACATCACAACACAGTGAAGCTGTGATGCAGCTACTTTTTTTTTAGATAGTCTTGCTCTGTCACCCAGGTTGGAGTGCAGTTGTGCAATCTTGGCTCACTACAACCTCTGCCTCATGGGTTCAAGCAATTCTCCTGCCTCAGCCTCACAAGTAGCTGGGACTATAGGCATGTGCCATAACGCCAAGCTAATTTATTTTTTATTTTTTTAGTAGAGGCGGGGTTTCACCATGTTGACCAGGCTGGGCTCAAACTTCTGACCTCAAGTGATCTACCTGCCTTGGCCTCCCAAAGTGCTGAGATTACGGGCGTGAGCCACCGAGCCTGGTTTTGTTTGTTTGTTTGTTTGTTTGTTTTAACTGAGAGGGGGTCTCATTCTGTCGCCCAGGCCAGGGTAAACTGGAACATCTAGGCTTTCTGCAACTTCCACCTCATGGACTCAAGTGATCCTTCCACCTCAACTTCCTGAGTAGCTGGGACTACAGGCACCTGCCACCAGGACAGCTTATTTTTTGTATTTTGTGTAGAGACAGAGTTGCCCAGGCTGCCCTGTTTTGTTGTTTTGTTTTTGTTTTTGTTTTTTAATAGAGATAAGGTTTCACTATGTTGCCCTAGTTGGTCTGGAATTCTTGCACTCAAGTGATTGCCCCACCTCAGCCTCTCAAACTGCTAGGATTACAGGTGTGACTTACTGCACCCAGCCCCAAGGCTGGTATTGAACTGAGCTCAAGCCACCCACCTGCCTCAGCCTCCTAAAGTGCTGGGGTTACAGGCATGAGCCATTGTGCCTGGCCACATTTTTAAAAACAAGGATTTGTATTTGAAATCAGTGCATTTTTCTCAGCCACATCTCCTATGTGGCATCCAATAAAAATGAATTTAGTAAAAAAATTGTTAGAGATTAAAATGATGAAACATGATATAACAAAAGAAATTGTGAAGCCTTTAGTCCTTTTGGAACAAGGTCATTTATAAACCAACCAACTAGCAATCAAGCAGAGAAACAAGTGAAATAGATAAATTAGTAATTTAATTAAACGTATCATTTGAAAGTCAATGCTGACTTTAAAAATCTTGAATTAAATACCTACAGATATTTTAATGCAGATGCTGACAGTTTTGATCCACATATAGAGTCAGTTCTGATTCTTCGACTTGCTAGATAATAGCCATGAATCATTCTTTCTGCTTCCAAGCTGAATTCTACATTCAAATTCTTTGCAAAAGCCAGTAGCTAAAAAGAGTGAAAAATCCAAGATAATCAAACTTTATTATGGACTCCCCATAACAAAAATCAAAAGTATACTGCCACTTTATTTTTAAAAGTTGGCATATTTTATTACATAAAAAAGAGTAAATGCCTGGGGCCATCCTGAAGTCATTGAACACTTTAAATCACAATGTTATACCTGTAAAGGATTTTAAAGTTTACCCAGAATAATTTCCTCCCTCTCAGTGCAAAAATGTTCTGTGTAATATGTTTGAATGACTTTACAAGGTCTTTGCTCCGAGTGAAAGGCTCACCTCCCTCAGAAGCTCATTTGCATCTGAATAGCTTTAATTCTATGACAGTTTATTTCCTTAAAACTTTCTGTCATTGGCCTAGAGCTACTTGTCCTCCTTACTTCCCTTCCTTCCTTTTATAGAACACTTAACACGTGGTATGAGGAAAAACTTTGTGTTAACTTTGAAGGTGGGATTTAGTGATTGAGTAAGATTTGAATAGAGAATAATTCTACAACACAATGATTATCACTGGTTTTTCTAGTTTTGCGCTTTTTTTTCTTTCAGAGTCAGTGATTCCTAGTTCCCAAAGTCCTTCTCTGTGACATAATTTCCAGATTTTTTACTATCCTAGTTATTTTCTACTTTTTCAGTTCAGATAACCACAGGAAAAATTAACTATAATAAGGTTGCTATGTTTTTTTTCTGACACTATCTACCTGGAGAAAGGTTGCTATTAACTATAGAATTTATATTATTTATTTATTTATTTATTTTTGAGATGGAATCTTGCTCTGTCGCCCAGGCTGGAGTGCAGTGGCCCGATCTCAGCTCACTGCAACCTCCACCTCCTGCGTTCAAGTGATTTTCCTGCCTCAGCCTCCTGAGTAGCTGGGACTACATGTGTGCACCACCATGACCAGCTAATTTTTTTTCTTTATATATATATATATATATATATATATATATATATATATATATTTTTTTTTTTTTTTTTTTTTTTTTTTTTTTTTTTTTTGAGAAGGAGTTTCACTCTTGTTATCCAGGCTGGAGTGCAATGGCGCGATCTTGGCTCACCGCAACCTCCGCCTCCTGGGTTCAAGCAATTCTCCTGCCTCAGCCTCCCGAGTAGCTGGGACTACAGGCGTGCACCACCATGCCCAGCTAATTTTTGTATTTTTAGTAGAGACGGAGTTTCACCATGTTGACCAGGATGGTCTCGATCTCTTGACCTCATGATCCAGCCGCCTCAGCCTCCCAAAGTGCTGGGATTACAGGCTTGAGCCACCGTGCCCGGCTCTTTTTATATTTTTATTAGAAACAGGGTTTCACCATGTTGGCCAGGCCGGTCTTGAACTCCTGACCTCAGGTGATCCGCTTGCCTCAGCCTCCCAGAGTGCTGGGATTACAGGCATGAGCCACCATGCCTGGCCTAAAATTTGCATTTTAAATATAACTTTTTAAAAAGTATATAGAATTTCCTATATTGGACATGTCCTGGATTGGATATATCCTAGCTTCTTTCTTTATTCTCCACAACTCTCTCCAGGCTTTCAGAACTGGATAATAATACTATTAATAATATCCGGCCAGGCATGGTGGCTCACGCCTGTAATCCCAGCACTTTGGGAATCTGAGGCAGGCAGATCACAAGGTCAGGAGTTTGAGACCAGCCTGGCCAACATGATGAAACCCTGTCTCTACTAAAAATACAAAAAATTAGCCAGGTATGGTGGTATGTGCCTATAACCCCAGCTACTCGGAAGGCTAAGGCAGGAGAATCACTTGAACCCAGGAGGCAGAGGTGAGCCAAGATGGCACCATTGCACTCCAGGTTGGGCAACAGAGCAAGGCTCCGTCTTGAGAAAAAAAAAATACTATTAATAGTATCAATAACCCTCTCTAAGTTCTCTCTAAGGTGGCATGATGATGAGCCACCAATATCCTCCTTCAGGAAAGGACCTGTTTGTTACCCCAGCTACTAAGATTGCTGTCAGCTCCTTTAGGGATTATCTCAGGACAGTCCATATCACATGAGTGATTGAGGCAGAAGTGGGGGAGGACATTATAAAGTCTGGAGGTATTGACAGAAAAGCTTTCCCCAATAAACAAACACTGGCACACTAAACTCCATCTCAGTCTGTGTTCTGGAGAGCTCAGGCTGCTACAAATTCCATCCACTCTGATTTGTGTGACATTTATCTTCCAGAGAAACCATTTTTACTATTTCACTTTTTACTATTTTTACAGTTCACTCTACAACTGTTCTCTATAGTCTGACAAACCAAATATAAAATCTTCTGCTTGTGCAAGACTTATTGTAAATATGTAAAACAAAAACAAAAACAAAAACAAGAAATCTTTGGGGCCGGGCACGGTGGCTCAAGCCTGTAATCCCAGCACTTTGGGAGGCCGAGGCGGGTGGATCACGAGGTTGAGAGATCGAGACCATCCGGGTCAACATGGTGAAACCCCGTCTCTACTAAAAATACAAGAAATTAGCTGGGCATGGTGGCGCATGCCTGTAATTCCAGCTACTCGGGAGGTTGAGGCAGGAGAATTGCCTGAACCCAGGAGGCGGAGGTTGCGGTGAGCCGAGATCGCGCCATTGCACTCCAGCCTGGGTAACAAGAGTGAAACTCTGTCTCAAAAAAAAAAAAAAAAAAAGAAATCTATGACTCCAAAATACAATTTCTGCTCCAGTCAAGCTGGTCTTAATCATTTTCCATGTATATTAATTTCTACTTTTATGTCTTTGCTCCTACTATTAATTCTACTTGGAACACCTATCCTTTGTACATCTAAATTTTACCCTTTCTTACAGCCCAACTAATATCCACCCTCTTCCATGAAGTTTTCCCAGCTTCTGCATTCTACATTGATACCTTCCTTTCTGAATTCCTAAAATACCTTAGAGTCAGCACCACTTAGCTTAGCACTTATATTTTTCCTTAATTATTTTATGTATTTTATTTTTATCTCAATTAAATGATAAAGTGGAAGTTTATATTTCTGTGAGAATATAAAAGAATAGAAATAGGCTTTCTTCACATATACCCCAAAACCTAAAATGCAATTAAAAAAAAAAAGAAATAGGCTTATATATGTGAAGTATTCAGTAAATACCTGAATAATTAATAAATCTAGATTGTTTTGGCTTGTTTCTCAGGAAAAAAATGGGCAAAATTTCTCAGGGTTATTAGCTTGTCTATATTTAGTACCCTAATTCCTACAGACTACCTTTTTCCCATACAATGAAAACCAAAACCAAAACCTTATTATATTATAAATATTATTTTTTCTATTCTATGTGAATAAACAATGCTCAGAATTCATTTTTTAAGTCAATTTCACCTTTCAACCTTTTACTCATGCAATATGCTTACAAGGAAGGTAGATATAAAAAAAAAATTAATGACTCATAGACCTCCACTTTCTGATATCCCCTGCCTTTTATCTATCATACCCAGACATGTGAATTCTACTGTGGACAGATTATTTTGAGTAGTTAAAAAGTTTTCAGCTGTAAATATGTGAGGAACTTTAATAGCTATAAGAATTATTACTAAATTTACATCACCTACTCTCAGGTTCTCTGAACATGTCATATATGTTTTGATGTCAGTGATTTATGCTACATATTCCCTAAAGTCAGGACTCAAAGGCATTCATCTAAGGAAAATCCCTTTGAATAGACAGTAAAATGTAAATAACTGTATATCTATATAGCCTATTATAATTATTCTCTTTTCTTCTTGTTTGTTTTGTTTTGTTTTTGCGACAGAGTTTTCATTCTGTTGCCCAGGCTGGAGTGTGATGGTGCCATCTTGGCTCACTACAACCTCTGCCTCCCAGGTTCAAGCAATTCTCCCACCTCAGCCTCCTGAGTAGCTGGGATTACAGGAATGTGGCACCATGCCTGACTAATTTTGTATTTTTAGTAGAGAGGGGGTTTCATCATGTTGGCCAGGCTGGTCTGGAACTCCTGACCTCAGATGGTCTACCTACCTCAGCCTCCCAAAGTGCTGGGGATTACAGATGTGAGTCACCACACCCAGCAGCCTATTATAATTTTCTATAGAAAAATTCTATTCTGATTTTCTTTCATTGAGATTCTTTCAGCTATGCTGATTTGGACAATGGTACAAAGAATAAACTCAGAATTTTAATATTCATTACCTAACACAGTTATTTGTTTAATCACAGTCCTAAATAATTCTAAATGATTTTTCTTTTTTTTTTTTTTTTTTTTTGAGACAGAGTTTCACTCTTGTTACCCAGGCTGGAGTGCAATGGCACGATCTTGGCTCACTGCAACCTCTGCCTCCTGGGTTCAGGCAATTCTCCTGCCTCCGCCTCCTGAGTAGCTGGGATTACAGGCACGCGCCACCATGCCCAGCTAATTTTTTGTATTTTTAGTAGAGACGGGGTTTCACCATGTTGACCGGGATGGTCTCGATCTCTCGACCTCGTGATCCACCCGCCTCGGCCTCCCAAAGTGCTGGGATTACAGGCTTGAGCCACCGCACCCGGCCTAATGATTTTTCTTTCTTTTTTCTTTTCTTTTCTTTTTCTTTTTCTTTTTCTTGAGACAGGCTCTTACTCTATCACCCAGGCAGGAGTGCAGTGGTACAATCTTGGCTCACTGCAACCTTCACCTCTTGGGTTCAAGCCATTCTCCTGCCTCAGCCTCCTGAGCAGCTGGGGTTACAGGCGCTCACCACCATGCACCACTAATTTTCGTATTTTCTGGTAGAGACGGGGTTTCACTGTGTTGGCCAGGCTGGTCTCAAACTCCTGGCCTCAAGTGATCTGTCCACCTTGGCCTCTCAAAGTGCTGGGATTATAGGCATGAGCCACCACACCAGCCTAACCCTAAATAACTTCTATACAATGTCTTTAAAATGTTAAAAAGCTGTAACCAATTGGAATAAAAGAATCCTCAACAAAGAAAATCCAGCGTTCAATAGGGCTTCTATATAAATTGAGAAACATTAGCACAGGCTTCTGGGTAACTCTTTTATTTACCTTTACCTTTTCAAAATCTTCAGTTGTAAACTGTCTAGAAGCCACATAAAGCAGCCCTTCAGGATTAATGGCTTTCTTCAAAGTATGCTGCACAGTAGGAAGAAATGGGTGGCAGGGAGATGACTCATTGCAGTTAATCAATAAACCAAATGCCTCCACAAGGTTAGCAGGAATCAAACTGCAATCCTACATCAAACCAAAAGGTAATAGGCAAACATTAAACTTTGTAATTTTCACAATTTTGAAATAATTACTTAAAAAGTAATTATTATATGTTATTATCAATTTATATTAATTATAATTTAAGGTATTTTTTGAATAATCTGGGAACTTTTTGGTGATTGATTTTTTAAAGCCTCTTTACTGAGTATTTTCTTTTTTTTTTTTTTTTCAGGCAGAGTTGCCCAGGTTGAAGTGCAATGGCATGATCTTGGCTTACTGCAACCTCCACCTCCCAGGTTCAAGTAATTCTCCTGCCTCAGCCTCCCAAGTAGCTGAGATTCCAGATGCCTGCCACCATGCCTGGCTAATTTTTGTATTTTTAGTAGAGATGGGGTTTTGCCATATTGACCAGGCTGGCCTTGAACTTCAGACCTCGTGACCTGCCTGCCTCGACCTCCCAAAGTGCTGGGATTACAAGCATCAGCCACCGTGCCTGGCCTACTGAGTATTTTCTTTTTCTTTTTTTTTTTTTTAAGATGGAGTTTCACTCTTGTTACCCCCCAGGCTGGAGTGGCACGATCTCGGCTCACCACAACCCCCGCCTCCTGGGTTCAAGCAATTCTCCTACCTCAGCCTCCCGAGTAGCTGGGACTACAGGCCGCGCCACCATGCCCAGCTAATTTTTGTATTTTTAGTAGATACAGGGTTTCAGCATGTTGACCAGAATGGTCTCGATCTCTCGACCTTGTGATCCACCTGCCTCAGCCTCCCAAAGTGTTGGGATTATAGGCGTGAGCCACCATGCCTGGTCCTGAGTATTTTCTTATACATTATTCATTAAGGGCTCTCCACCTACCTATTCAAATAGTAATTTCCAGTGAGTAGAAATCTGATCTACATGGTTACAAAAATTACAATTTTTAAACAAGTGGGTTATCATGTAGTTCTGATACCCAATAACATATTAATAACAAAAATAGTAAGATGTATTAAAATTTGTGACTAAATTTATTGAACAACATTCTAAGAATAAAATATACATATACCTTACCATCTGACCAATTAGAGTGTTGATTTTCTGTGCATTTCTCCTTGAAGATGAATCCATATCAACAAAAGACCAGAAACTGCACTGAACTGGAAAAGTCATCTGTTGATCAATATCCTCCCCAAACTTCTTTCCTGGGATGTACACTGTGATGCTTCTGCTCTCCAGAACTAAGTTACAAGATATTATCTATTTGTTATTTAAGTTCATTTTGGTCTAAATGTCTACAAATTAATAACATATTCTTATATAGAATTATACTGTCTTGACTTTGAATAGTGAAAGAAAGTAAATTTGATTGTTTTGCAAGACAATGCTCTAAGTTAGAGCATCTGCCATAAAAAGAACAAGGCAAAAATATATATTTGAAGTCTTATATGTCCCATGACTTGATGAGAACTAGGAGTCCAAAGCATGTAGCTAGAATTGTGGCTGGGCACCTGAGTGGACTAGGCAGTGGACTAAGAGATTGGTCATATAATACAGACTTACATGAGAGGCTAAAATTAAATCATGTTCTTTTATGTGGGGAAAAATGATAGAAAGCAGACCATCCATGTGGGAGTGAGAGAGGAAAAGACAGATAATATGAACTACAATGACTTGGGGAAATGTATCTCAAATTCAACATGTTCAAAAGCAAATTCATTGTCCTCCCTCCTCCCACTTAAAACCCAAACAGGCCAGGCATGGTGGCTCATGCCTGTAATCCCAGCACTTTGAGAGGCTGAGGTGGGTGGATCACCTCAGATCAGGAGATCGAGACCACCCTGGCCAACCTGGTGAAACACCGTCTCTATTAAAATACAAAAAATTAGCAGGTGTGGTGACGTGCACCTTTAGTCCCAGCTACTCAGGAGGCTGAGGCAGGGGAATCACTTGAACCCAGGAGGCAGGGGTTGCAGTGCGCTGAGATCATGCCACTCCAGCCTGGTGACAGAGCAAGGCTCCATCTCAAAAAAAAAAAAAAAAGGAACACTTTGGGAGGCTTACACAGGAGGATTGCTTGAGCCCTGGAGTTCTAGACGTGCCTGAGAAACTTGGCAAGACCCTGTTACTACAAAAAATTAGCCAAGCATTGTGGCATGTTACTGTGGTCCAGCTACTTAGGAGGCTGAGGTGAAAGACTTGCTTGAACCCAGGAGTTCGAGGGTGCAGTGAGGTATGATGACACTACTGCATTCCAGCCTGGGCAACAGAGTAAGACCTTGTCTCAAAAAAAAAAAAAAAAAAAAAAAGGAGAAGAAAAAGAAGGAGAAGGAGGAGGAGGAGAGGGAGAAGGAGAAGATGGAGAAACAGACCAGGGCAGTCATGAGGACCACATATGTTTTGATTTCAATTATAGTCAGCCATCCATGTCCGAAGGATCTGCATTCAACCAACCACTGATGAAAAATATTCAACCAATCAATAAATAAAACAATAACAACAATAAAAAAACAACACAGTATAACAATTTGCAAAGTATTTACATTGTATTGACTATTATAAGTAATCTACAGATGATTTAAAGTATACGGGAAGATGTGCAAAGATTATATGCAAATACTATGCCATTTTATATGAGGGACTTGAGCATCTGTGGATTTTGGTATATGTGAGGCCCTGGGACCAATCCGTGGAGAATACTGAGGGAAGACTAAAGTATGCAATGTTCAGAATAGGCAAATATATAGTAACAGAAAGCAGTTAGTGTTTGCCAGGGACTTTTCGGGAGTAGGTGACAGGAGGCAGGGACTGGGGGGTTGACTGCTAATGGATATGGAGCTTTCTTTTGGGGTGATGAAAATATTCTGAAGTTAGTGGTAATAGCACAATTCTGAATTATTCTAGAAAGCACTTAGCTATACACTTTCAGTGGTGAATTGTATGATGTGTGAATTTCAATAAAACTGTTACAAAAAATGTAATAGTAGTAATTGCCATTCTATTTTTTTAGAGTATGTTGCCTAGGCTGGAGTGCAGTGGCTATTCACAAGCACGATCCTACTATTGATCAGCACAGGAGTTTTGACCTGCTCCATTTCCAACCTGGGCTGGTTCACCCCTCCTTAGGCAACCAGGTGGTTCCCGGCTCCCAGTAGGTCACCATATTGATGCCAAACTTAGTGCGGACACCCGATCAGCATAGCACACTACAGCCCAGAACTCCTGGGCTCAAGTGATCCTCCCACCTCAGCCTCCCGAGTAGCTGGGGACTACAGGTACGTGCCACTGCACCCGGTGTTTTTTATCTTTCTATTGTACAATACTCTTATCTTTCTATTGTACAATGCAAATATATGAGCATTTATCTCATTTGTGGAACCACTAGTATTTTGCACATTGATATATATTTTGTTTTTACCAGAACAGTGGAAATGCTACACAAAACAATTTTTATTTTACTTATTGATATGCATACATTTTAATTCTTGATATGCATACATTTCACTAATGCTCTCTACCTTCAGCTTACTGATGAGTGAGGAAGGAATGGAAAGACAAGGAACTATGGATTTGCCCTTTCTTTTTTCTCCTGTCAGCATTTTCAGTGTGAGTGGTTGGCAAATACAGGAAAGCAACCAAATAAGAAAGAGTATGATAGGACTACTTGGTCATTTGTGTTTCTTAAAAGGCCAATGCATTGCCTTCTTTCTGCATTAGAAGCATGTCTAGTTCAAATGAAAAGCATGACTACTTGAAGTTATTAGCACTCCCTCTTACTCAGTTGAAAATGTGTTGTTATGGAAATATAAGTGCATCCATGACACATGGGAGTCCAGCAACAATCAAAGATAGTACAAATTAAATGTGTTAGAAAGCTTCATAGTGATCACAAATGCTGTATGAAATAGGGCAGGAAGGCACAGTTGAAACAGGCACGCATCTGTCTCCTCTTCTCACACTCAAGTGCCATTGACTCACTGGACTTTCTTATAATACAAAGATAAAATTATTAAAAATTTGAAGATGATGACAGCAGAGTTTTAAACCAAATGCCAAGCTCTTGTGGGGAGACAACATATTAGCAGGGCCAGCTTTATGAGTGTGTAACAAGTGCAATTGTACTGAGGCCCTCCTCTGTACTAGCTAGATGTTCTACCATCTTTTGTTGAAAAAAAAATCTCCTTTTACCACTGACTAGCTTTGGTGCTGTAGTCAAAAATCAATTGACTATAAAATGTGGGTCAATTTCTATACTCTCTGATATGGTTTGGCTGTGTCTCCACCCAAATCTCTTCTTGAATTCCCATGTGTTGTGGGATGGGCCTGGTGGGAGGTAATTGAATCATGGGGGGCAGGTTTTTCTCATGCTGTTCTCATGGTAGCAAGTAAGTCTCACCAGATCTAATCGTTTTAAAAAGGAGAGTTTCCCTGCACAAGCTCTCTTTTCTTGTCTGCCACCACATGAGACGTACCTTTCACCTTCTGCCATGATTGTGAGACCCCCTTCAGCCATGTGGAACTGTGAGTTCAGTAAACCTCTTTCTTTTGTAAATAACCCAGTCTTGGGTATGTCTTTATTGACAGCATAAAAACAGACTAATACACTCTCATTTTGTTTTTATTGCTTTTTTTGTAGAGATGGGGTCTCAGTGTGTTGCCCAGGATGGTCTGGAACTCCTGGTCTCAAGCAATCCTCTTGTCTCAGCCTCCTAAAGTGATGGGATTACACATGTGAGCCACTGGGTGCAGCTAATTTCTGCATTCTCTTATAAAGTGAAACAATATGCTATGTGCTCTGAGCATACTTGTACATTCATGCTGATACGCCAAGAAGGCAAGGCTCTGACTGCTCTTTGCTCAGTCCAAGGCGGTCCATATCCCTGCTATTTATAAATCTGGCCCAGCCAGCATTACTCTAATACAGAACCAGACAATGACATTATAAGGAAAAAACCCTACAGTTCAATGTCTCTCATGAACATAGATTTTTCAAATCATCAACAGCACATCAAATCCAACAACGTAGAAAAAGAATTATACACCATGATCAAGTAAGCTTTATCCCAGGTACGTAAGGCTGGTTCAATGTTCAAAAATCAATTTATGTACTTCATCATATCAACGGGCTAAATGAGAAAAATCATATGATTGATAGTGGCAGAAGGCAGACAGGTTCCTGGGAGGATAGGGGCAGGTCCTTGGTGGAACCTTCAGGAGGGAGACAGCCTGAAGCCTGAAAAACAGGCTGCCAGTTCCAAGTGGAGTTCACTACCTGAAGTGAGAACTTCCTTAACGCCTTTTAGCCAATCAGATGGTGCTTTTTCTGCACATGGACCAATCAGCACTTGACAAAACCCCATGTCCATTTATGATTTTAAAAACTTCCTCCAGCCAGGCACAGTGGCTCAAGCCTGTAATCCCGGCACTTTGGGAGGCCGAGGCGCGTGGATCACGAGGTCAAGAGATCGAGACTATCCTGGTCAACATGGTGAAACCCCATCTCTACTAAAAATACAAAAAATTAGCTGGGCATGGTGGTGCGTGGCTGTAATCCCAGCTACTCAGGAGGCTGAGGCAGGAAAATTGCCTGAACCCAGGAGGCAGAGGTTGTGGTGAGCCGAGATCGTGCCATTGCACTCCAGCCTGCGTAACAAGAGCGAAATTCAGTCTCAAAAAAAAAAAAAAAAAAAAAAAAACTTCCTCCATTCTTAGCCCATAAAAACCCCAATCTCCAGCTGGGTGTGGTGGCTCATGGCTGTAATCCCAGCACTTTGGGAGGTCGAGTTGGGCAGATCCCAAGGTCGGGAGTTCAAGACCAGCCTCCTGACCAACATGGTGAAACTCCGTCTCTACTAAAAATACAAAAATTAGCTGGGTGTAGTGGTGGGCACCCATAATCCCAGTTACTTGGGAGGCTGACACAGAGAACTGCTTGAACCTGGGAAGCAGAGGTTGCAGTGAGCTGAGATTGTGCCACCACACTCCAGCCTGGGGAACAGAGTGAGACACTGTCTCAAAAAATAAATAAATAAATAAATAAAACCAAACGACTCAGACACAGGTTGTGACTACCTGCCTGCAGTTAGGAACTACCCACTTCAGGTCTCCTGTCTGCTAAAAGCTGTTCTACCACGCAATAAAACTCTTCTCTACCTTGCTCATCCTTCAGTTGTCCACATAAGCTAATTCTTCCTGGACATGGGACAAGAACTTGGGATCTGCTGAACAGCAAGCACAAAAAGGGCTATGACACTTTCCTGTGAGGCTTGCTGAGCTGAGTGGGAGCAAAAAGGGCTGTAACACTTTCCTAGCCAGCTCACCAAGCTGTGAGTGGTGACACATTCTTGTTTGTTGGACTGTGGGAGTGAAGAGCAATGACCCTTCTGGAAGCCCAGACCTCAGGATTTCCTGAGTCAGAGCTGTAACACTGTAATTCTTCTGCCCTCTGCCAGCTTTGGGTGGCTGCCCCACAAGACAGAAAGTGGTGATGGGCTGGGCCAGCCCAGAGCCACGGGCTGGAGTGAGGCAGTGGACTAAAAGAGCTGTTAACATGTGCCCCCATTCACTGAGCTGTGGACAGCAGGAACGAGAGAGCTGTAGCATGCTTCCCCCAACACCCTGGGGCTCCACAGTTGCTGGTGTCTCCAAGTTTTCAGAAGCCACCACGTTCCCCTCATCCAAACACCAGACCCCACAGTGGAAGCTACTTGCAGTATGCCTGTTCCAGCTACAGTCTCGCTTGAAACCAGCACCTGTGCCAACACCTGGAATTGCCTGCCCTACCACAGCAGTCAGTGTGCCTGGCTGTGCACAGTGGCCAGACCCTGCACTCGCTCACGCTCACACCACTTGCTGCTCTGCACCTGGCTTGCCCTCAGCAGGTGTGGGATCTGGACCGGTAGTGTGAGCCAAGAGCAGCCTGCTGGCCCAAGTGGGCAGAACAAGCCCAGCAGGCAAGAATGAAACTCAAGCAGAGATGCTGCCAGACATAGAGGTGTCTGGCTGGAGAAGCAACACCCGAAGGATCCTGCGACATGACCATATTAATAGATGTAGATAAAGCATTTGACAAAACCCCATATCCATTTATGATTTTTAAAACTCTCAGAAAATTAGGAATAGAGAAGAACTTCCACTGATAAAGAATGTCTACAAAAAATGTGCAGCTAACATCATACTTAATGGTGAGAAACTTGAGGCTTTCCCACTCAGATCAGGAATAAGGTAAGGATGTCCCCTCTCCACACCACTTTTCAACTTTATACTGGAAGTCATAGCTAATGTAATAAGACAAAAAGAAGAAATAAATCTGGTCCATTACAAGCTCCTGTGTTAGCACACTGAGAGTGAAGGCTAAAACAGTGCATTTGCATATTAAATTTGTTTTTGCTTATAAAATGAGAAAGGGCATCTAATATAATTTCTCAAACCCTCAGACACATGCAATACTATCCTAACTGTTAAGTATCTCAACATGGATGAGAGTATAGCTTAAACAGATGAAAATTAATTTCAAAAATATTGTTTACCTGATTGAAGCTGTTCAAGTTTATCTTTTTTGTGTGAAGCCAAGTCTCCTATAAAGCAGATACCACCTTTAGCTAGCAAAGCACTGCCAGCTTGAATGCTAACTGCTCCAGTTCCATACTTATTCCTGGATAAAGTGGGAAAAATTTCAGTAGAGACTGGATGACGTATACCACGAGGAACAAGGTTTATGCTAAAATTCAAAAGCCTAGGGAAAAAAATAAATTTTTCATAACTATTATTTAATTTTTAAAAGTCACAATGCTAATTAAATTAAATTAAAATTAAATTAAATGTTAAATCTAATTTTACTCTGTGTTTATTGAGCAACTGTGATACACCAGCTATTGTGCTAGGGATAAAAATATATATGACCAACATGGTGAAATCCTGTCTGTACTAAAAATACAAAAATTAGCTAGGCATGCTGGTCCATGCCTGTAGTCCCAGTTACTCAGGAGGCTGAAACACAAGCATCATCTGAACCTGGAAGGCAGAGGCTGCAATGAGCCAAGATTGTGCACTCCAGTGTGGGTGACAGAGCAATATTCTGTCTCAAAAAACAAAACAAAAAATATATAAGAGACCTCCTGGACCTTAACTTGGAAAGCTCAGAGTCTAAAAAGACAGACATAAAAAACTAAAATACAATATGATATGTACTAAAATGTCTTTAGAACATACATGGTGGCCGGGTGTGATGGCTTATGACTGTAATCCCAACACTTTGGGAGGCTGAGGCGGGTGGATCACTTGAGGTCAGGAGTTTGAGACCAGCCTGGTCAACATGACACAACCCCATCTCTACTAAAAAGCACAAAAATTAGCTGGGCCTGTAATTACACACTTGTAATCCCAACTACTGAGAGGCTGAGGCAGGAGAATTGCTTGAACCCAGGAAGTGGAGGTTGCAGTGAGCTGAAATCACTTCACTGCACTCTGGCCTGGGTGATGGGGCGAGACTGCCTCAAAAAAAAAAAAAAAAAAAAAAGAACATCCATGGGAGTGGGAATATTATTTCTTCCTGGAATGGAGTCAGAGAAAGTTACAGAGAGATGACATTTGAATTAGGCCCTCTTGTTTTTATGGGTTGCTTTCTTTTGCTATTTAGAATTTTTGTATCAGACTTGCTAGTGTCCCATCAAAACTATCACTCTGTTACTTCTGTATCATGGCAATTGTGTGGTTTTTGTTTGTTTTTGTTTTGTTTTGTTTTGAGTCTCAGGTGCCAAGATTGTAGTGCAGTGGCGTGATCCTGGCTCACTGCAACCTCCACATGTCGTCAGGGTGGAGTGCAATGGAGCAATCTCAGCTGACTTCAACCTCCACCTCCCAGGCTCAAACGATTCTCCTTCCTCAGTCTCCCAAGTAGCTGGGACCACAGGCACAAGCCACCATGCCTGGCTAAATGTTTTTTTGTTCTGTTTTGTTTTGTTTTTTGTAGAGACAGGGTTTCATGATGTTGCCCAGGCTGATCTCAAACTCCTGAGCTCTAATGATCCTCCTGCCTTGGCTTCCCAAAAGCACCAGCATTACAGGCTTGAGCCATTGTGTCCAGCCAAATTTTTTCTTTTTTTAAGAGACAGAGTCTCATCCGTCATCCAAGCTAGCATGCAATGATGCAGTCATAGCACACACAGCCTCAGACTCTTGGGCTTATGCAATCCTCCCTATTCAGTCTCTCAAGTAGCTGAAACTATAGGCATGGGGCACCCGCCTGTCTCATGGCAATTCTTGATATGTCATTTTTGGTTTCTAACCTCTTTGCTAATTGCCTCAGCTCTTCATATCCCAAATTGAAATTCTGAAAAAGGAATATGATTACCTTAGCTTAGCTTTCAAATCTTTGCCACAGAAATCATAGCTTGCTGGTGCAATCAACTATGATGAGTAGACATAGACATGTGATATAAAAGGGGATGATACAAAAGTAGGCATAGACATGCAGTGCAAAAGAGGGTATGATGTAAATAGGTAGATGGTATAAAATATGTCTAGTGCATGTACCATTCTAAGGAATTTGGATGTTAGTTTGAAGAGATATAAAATGAGAGAGGAATGTTTAGAAAGAATCCTTTGCAAGCCTATAAGGAGTGGTTCTCTACCACAGTCTGCACTAACCTTACTGGGGGGATTTAACAAATTCCAATGCTAAGTGCCACCACAAACCACTTATATTAGAAACTCTAGGGATGAGACACAGCCATAAATATTTTTTAAAAATTCTCCCAGGTGATTCTAATAGGCAACTAGGCTGAGTGCTTAGTGATATGGGACAATGAGCTTTAAATTTGGCTACACATTGGAATTGGCTAAGGAACTTTTAAAACTACTGATAGACAGAAGGTCACAGAATACAAAGTCAAAGTACAAAAATCAAATTGCATTTTTATATATTCATAGCAAACAATTAAAAATGAAGTTAAGAAAACACTACCATTTTAGTAGCATCAAAAATATCAAATATTTTTGGAATCAATTTAACAAAATATTTGCATGACCTTTATAAAAATATCACTGAGAGAAATTAAAGAAGACCTAAATAAATGGAGAGATATGCCATATTCATGGATTGGAAGACTCTATATTATTAAGGTGTTAATTCTCCCCAAAATTGATTTACAAGTTAAATACAGTTCCAATAAAAATACTCAAAGGTTTATTTTTGGTTGGTATTAACATACTAATTTGACTGGGCATAGTGACCCACATCTGCAATCCCAGCACTTTGGGATGCTGAGGTGGAAGGATCACTTGAGCCCAGGAGTGCAACACCAGTCTGGGCAACATGGTAAGACCTCATCTCTACAAAAAAACTAAAAAATTCGCCAGGTGTGGTGGTGCATGCCTCTGTTCCCAGCTACTCGGCAGGCTAAGGTGGGAGGATCACTTGAATCCAGGAGTTTGAGGCTGCAGTGAGCCATGATTGTGTCTCTGCACTCCAGTTTGGGCAACAGAGCATGATCCTGTCTCAAAAAATAAACTGATTCTAAGAATTATTTTAAAATGCAAAGGATCAAGCTGGGCGCGGTGGCTCATGCCTATAATCCCAGCACTTTGGAGGCTGAGGCTGAGGTGGGCAGATGACGAGGTCAGGAGTTTGAGACCAGCCTGCCCAACATGATGAAACCTCGTCACTACTAAAAATACAAAAATTAGCCAGGCAGAGTGGTGTGTGCCTGTAATCCCAGCTACTCAGGAGACTGAGGCAGGAGAATCACTTGAACCCAGGAGGTGGAGGTTGCAGTAAGCCGAGATGGCACCACTGCACTCCAGCCTGGGCAACAGAGCGACTCTCTCTCTCAAAAAAAAAAAAAAAAAAAAGCAAAGAATCTCATTTCTTTTTAATATTTAAAGTGAAGGATAAAGGTGCATTACTTGATTTCAAGACTGAACATAAAGCGCCGGGCGCGGTGGCTCAAGCCTGTAATCCCAGCACTTTGGGAGGCCGAGGCGGGTGGATCACGAGGTCGAAAGATCAAGACCATCCTGGTCAACATGGTGAAACCCCGTCTCTACTAAAAATACAAAAAACTAGCTGGGCATGGTGGTGCGTGCCTGTAATCCTAGCTACTTAGGAGGCTGAGGCAGGAGAATTGCCTGAGCCCAGGAGGCGGAGGTTGCGGTGAGCCGAGATTGCGCCATTGCACTCCAGCCTGGCTAACAAGAGCGAAACTCCGTCTCAAAAAAAAAAAAAAAAAAAAAAAAAAAAAGACTGAACATAAAGCTACAATAATCAAAAAGAGTACAATACTGGTATAAGTATAGACAAATACTTTTCAAAGTATTAAAAAAGAGTTCAAAGAGATTTACACCCAGTTCAATTTTATACCCAGATTTTACTCTGTTTGATTGCTTTTGAACAGTAGTATCAAAACAATTTAATGGGGAAAGGAAAATCTTTCAACAATTAGTGTGGAAAAATTGGATAATGCATGTGAAAAACATTAACTTTAACTCATGCTTTCTACCAATCTCTGGGAGATTGAGGCAGGAGGATTGCTTGAGCCTGGAAGTTTGAGACCAGCCTAGCAAGACTTGATTCTACAGGAATAAATAAATAGTAAACTAAAATTATAATGCTTCTGGAAGAAAACATTTTAAAACTCTTCATGACCTTGGGATAGACAAAGATTTCTTAAACAGAAGTCAGAAAACACTAAGCATAAAATAAAATAATAAACTGAACTTCATCAAAACTAAAAAGTCTGCTCATCAAAGATACCTTTAGACAATTTTTAAAAAACCTTTATACCTGGAGAGAAACTTTATAATACATACATTTGGCAAAGGACATGCATCGAGAACAGCTAAGCTAAAAAATGAACAAAGGACTTGAACAGACACTTCATTAAAAAAGTTATGTGAGTGGCCAATAAGCACATGAAAAAGAACTCAAATCAATAGTCATCAGGAAAATGCAAATTAGAACAATGACTTATCCGGCTGGGCACGGTGGCTCACACTTGTAATCCTAGCACTTTGGGAGGAAGGTGAGTGGATCATGAGATCAGGAGATTGAGATCATCCTGGCTAACACGGTGAAAAAACCCCATCTCTACTAAAAATACAAAAAAGTAGCTGGGTGTGGTAGCACATGCCTGTAATCCCAGCTACTCAGGAGGCTAAGGCAAGAGAATTACTTGAATCCGGGAGGTTGAGGTTGTAGTGAGCCGATATCACACCACTGCACTCCAGCCTGGGCAACAGAGCAAAACTCTGTCTCAAAAAAAAAAAAAAAGAGCAATGACATATCATTTCATTCCCACTAGTATGGCTAAAATGAAAAGGGCTGACAATACCAAATGTTGACAAAGATGGAAACAAGAGGAACTCTTTATATTGTTAGTAGAAATATAAAATGGTATAACCACTTCGGAAAACTAGCAGTTTCTTCCCTTTTTTTTTTTTTTTGAGACAGAGTCTCGCTCTGTTGCCCAGGCTGGAGTGCAGTGGCACTATCTTGGCTCACTGCAACCTCCACCTCCTGGGTTCAAGCAGATCTTGTACCTCAGCTTCCCAAGTATAGTTAGATCTACAGGCACTTGCCACCATGCCTGCCTAATTTTTGTACTTTTAATAGAGATGGAGTTTCCCCACATTGGCTAGGCTGGTCTCAAATTCCTGACCTCAGGTGATCTGCCCTCCTCAGCCTCCCAAAGTGTTTGAATTACAGGCATGAGCCACCATGCCCAGCCAACTGGCAGTTTCTCAAAAAGTTATAAATCTACCTCATGATCCAGCAATTCCACTCCTAGGTATTTACCCACGATAATGAAAATACATGTCCACAAAAAGACTTTTACAAGAATGTTTACAGCAGCTTTATTCATAATAGTCAAAACATGCAAAACCAAATGTCTTCCACTATGTGAACAGATAAGTGAATTTTGGTACATTTGTATAATGAAATGCTGCTCATCAACAGAAACAATGAACTACTGATGTACACAACTGGTTCAATTCAAAAACATTTTGTTGAGTAAGAGAAAGTAGACCTAAAAGAGGATACACTGTATAATTTCATTATTTGAAGTTCAAGAACAGGAAAATTGATCTATGGTGACAGAAATCACCAGTGGAGATAGGAAGCGATTGGAAGAGGAAATGAGGGAAATTTCTGTGGTGATAGAAATGTTCTATATCTTATTGTGGTGGTGATTAAAGGAGTATATGTATTTGTCAAAACTCATTGTTTTTTTTAGTGATTATAAGATCTGATTATTTCACTGTACATAAATTATACCTAAAAAGAAAAAAACAAACCAATCTCTCACACAGCCCCAAATATCATTTTTAAAAAATCAAAAGGTTAATGTCAAACAGACAGAGAAAGGCCTTAATTTACAAGCAGCACAAATCACAAATAAACAACATAATTTAAAAAAAATCAAGAATGGGAGGTTCATAGAAAAATAATACATGTTTAATAAGTTTTATATGATGCCAAAAGTTATTTCCAATTAAATAAATGCAAATTAAAATAAAATACAAATTTCTACCTATCAGATTGTAAAATTTTAAAGTTTGATAATGAAGTGAGAGGATCACTTGAGGCCAGGAGTTCAGACTTGGCAATATAAGGAGACTTTATTTCTATAAGAAATTTAAAAATTAGCCTGGTGTAGTGGTGTGTGCCTGTAGTCCTAGCTACTCAGGAGGCTAAGTCTGGAGGATCACCTGAGCCTAGGAGATTGAGGCTGTAGTGAGCCATGATCATGCTACTGCATTCCAACCTGGTGACAGAGTGAGACCCTGTCTCAAACAAACAAACAAAAATAACAAAAATAAAAGTTTGATAATACCAGAGTTGGTGAGGCTGTGAGGAAACAAATACTCTATTATTATTATTATTATTTTTGAGATGGAGTCTTGCTCTGTAGCCCAGGCTGGAGTGCAGTGGTGCGATCTTGGCTCACTGCAACCTCCATTTCCCGAGTTTAAGCGATTCTCCTGCCTCAGCCTCCCGGGTTGCTGGGACTGCAGGCATGTGCCACCATGCCCAGCTAATTTTTTGTATTTTTAGTAGAGATGGGATTTCAGTGTTAGCTAGGACGGTCTTGACCTCCTAATCTCATGATCCACCCACCTCAGCCTCCCAAAGTGCAGGGATTACAGGCATAAGCCACCACTCTTGACCATAAATACTCTTCTGTTCTGTTAATAGAAGAATAAAGTGGTAAAATCGGCATTTGGTGGCAATTTAATTTTAGCAAAACATAATCTGTTCAATTAAATTACTGTTAATTTGAATTTTATATTTTTCTATTTTAAATTCATTTTGTAAATTTATTTTATGCCTTGGAATTGTGTACAAGATACTAAATAAGGAGCTTATTCCTGGCTTTGTGAATATTTAAACAACTTTTTAAAGGAAAAGGTACTTGCTAGTAGGGAGCCACAAAATGCTGAGTAGAGGCTTACTCCAAAGTTAGGATGATGTTCCCCGCAAAAACAGTAATTATGGCACTTCTTTTTTTTTTTTTTTTTTTTTGAGACAGAGTTTCGCTCTTGTGGCCCAGGCTGGAGTGCAATGGTGGGATCTTGGCTTATTGCAACTTCCGCCTCCCAGTTACAAGTGATTATCCTGCCCCAGTCTTCCAAGCAGCTGTGATTAGGTGCCCGCCACCATGCCCAGCTAATTTTTGTATTTTTAGGAGAGATAGGGTTTCACCATGTTGGCCAGGTTGGTCTTGAACTCCTGACCTCAGGTGATCCACCCACCTCAGCCTCCCAAAGTGCTGGGATTATAGGTGTGAGCCACCATGCCCAGCCTAATTACGGCACTTCTAACAACCTTATTTGGATGTAGTGAGTCAGTATTATTGATTGGAATATTGAAGAAAGATAAGAAAATGGTTTGTTTGTTCCTTAGGGGGAGGATTATTCAAAACGAAGTACAGAAAGAGAATACAGAGCTAGGGAATGGGGAGAAAGGAAGACTGGGAAGGATGTATTTACTTACAAAGGTCTGAGTGGGGAAATTAGTTGAAACTTGGAGTAATTCAATTTATCACTTATCAATTTATCTTTCAAAGGTTTCAAATTTTATTGATAAGGATTGATTTAAATATTTATACTGGCTCAGAAACATTCTAAATATTCTTCTTGTAATAATGCTCATGGAAAGGATGTATGCAAATCTGCGACCAATCAATATTTGTAAAAGTTCATGTCACATATTTACCTGTCTGCAAGTAGAGTATCACTTGTTATTATTAAAATATCCAGACAATCTTCCAGTTCCTTCTTACGGTCAGTTATCTGTACCAGACTCATCAACAAACAGAGCTTGAGCAAATTGTAAGTCCCAGGAGGAGTAATTTGCGATGCAAAGATATTGGCAAGTATTGCTGTAAATTTCCAGCATGAGCTGGAAGTTAAGGAGAGAAGACACCTGAAGTTGTCACTAATTCCTGAAGGAACTGAAAGTAAATATTAACATATATATTAGAAAGGATTTTAAAACAAGAAAACACTATAGATATTTAATTTCCTTTATCTAAAATGTTATCAAAGTATACTTCTAATAATGCCTATTCTTTTTCTTTTTCTTTTTTTTTTTTAGAGAGACGAGATCTTGTTATGTTTCCCAGGCTGGTCTTTAACCCTTGGCCTCAGTTGATTCTCCTCCGTTGGCCTCCCCAAAGTGCTATGATTAAAGGTCTGAGCTACCGTGCCTGGCCTTTAAATTCTTAGAAGGATATTAAATTATAATTTGAGGTCATGCTAGTTTATCATTTCTATCTCAGGGAATGTAATGCAAGGAAGAAGTCACCCTGTGCGTTCACGTAGATTGGCTGTGGGTTGCAGGCAAATTTCTTATTCTTCTCCTTTTAAGATCTATGTGAGCAAACCAGATCATGGAGCTCCTGAATTGCTGTGTTTGCTATTATATTTCTATGTATCGCCTTCAAAGAGGAATAATAAGCAGAATGGGAAATATTTGAATGTCACTGTTAAATGGAAATATTTATATTCCACTACTTTGAAAGCACTGTACTGTATTATACTGTAAAATTCTAGATCTTCTCCATCCTCTCACTGTCTATCTCCTGAAAGAAATGAGTGATTTATCCAATTGATAGTTTGGGTGAAACGGCTGTGCATGTATAACCCAGTCCCATTCTCCTTTCTGGGCTGCCATCAGAGAGCAATGATTTCCTCTACTCATCCATGCCCATGGACTAAGAGAGCCTACTTTAGTCCGGCTCTTGCCACATTTGGGTAGTTAAATATGCCTCATTCTGGAGTTCGGCATAAGAAAGCACACTCTCCATCTATAGAAAAGTCATGTTCTGCTACCAAATCAATAAATTTTTAAACACTTAGCAGAAAATATTTTAAAAATCACTAAACCCTCTATAGTTCATCAGTGCTTTCTTTCTTTAACTTTTTTGTTCTTTTAAGAAGTTTTCTTTTTAAGTAAGTAGAAGTATTTAGAATCTACTTAACATTTAAATTCAACTTGGGTCTCTATTACTACTGATGATTATCCACAGTGGGGAGGCTAAAGAAACTTCATCTTGGGTTGGATGTGGTGGCTCACACCTGTAATCCTAGCACTTTGGGAGGCTGAGGAGGGCGGATCACCTGAGGTCAGGAGTCCGAGACCAGCCTGGCCAAAATGGTGAAACCCTGTCTCTACCAGAAATACAAAAATTAGCTGGGCGTGGTGGTGGAGGTTGCAGTGAGCCAAGATTGCACCATTGCACTCCAGCCTGGATGACAGAGCAAAACTGTCTCAAAAAAAAAAGAAACTTCATCTTGGAAGCTAACTTGCCATTTGACTTCTGATTAACCCCAGATCTGCAAATGCACTGAGATTTCCAGTTGATCTATTGTTCCTCTTGCAAGAGCATATATTTACCATAAATCCTGCCTTTAGATCAATCAACCTTGATAAATTCAAACTTACTGTAAATCTTGTCCTTAGGTCAAATTCCTATCCAATCCCTCTGAAGCATACGTACTCCTTTCCTATATAATTCCTGGGTCTGTCTTGCAGCTACCCAAGACTGTGCTTTTGTCCATAAGTTCCCCAATAAAACCACCCTATAATGACAAGCTGGACTTGTCTGCCTCCTTTCACTTCTCAGGTCCTTCTGCATTTGGGGATCACTTTGAAAGTATATAGCCCATTCAAGGAACATATGGATTATAAATAAAATCCAACTCTATTCAATATTTAACCAGCCTTATCTATATTTAGATATTTGTGAGCCAAGTTAAAAGAAGAGGTCTGCTCTCCACTTTTGTTTACATAATGCTAAAGCATGTTGGAGTTGTTAAAGGAAATTATCAGTAATAAAGGTGATATTTTGGTCCTCATCTGCCTTTATCTTATTTTTTTATTTGATTCAGAATTCAGTTGAGGAAAAGGATGCTATTTTATTGAGCCCTTCTTCTCAAACCACAACAGTTAATCCAGAATTGCCTTGGCTAGTAAATAAAGGGTGGTATAGAAAAACCCTTTGACTAATTTCTAACTCTGAAACATTTTTCTCATTAATTATTTAAAAAACTAAAATAAGGCTTAGCCAAAACATGCTAGCAAGTTTCCACATTTTCCTGTTTTATTTCCTTCGTGTACTTACTATCTGAAATTGTCTTTTGCTTACTTTACATGTTTATTGACTGTCTACCATACGATTTAAGAGCAGAAACCTTGACTGTCCTGTTTACAGTTGTATCCTTAGTGCTTAGAAGAATGCCTAGCACACAGGCAAACAATACTTATCTGCTGAACAAATACATTTAAATGTAAATATTTGTTAATATATAACACTAACATTTTCCTTACCTTTTGCATTACAAAAAGTTATGCTATTTGCTTCTATACAGACAGCAGTTTGTGAGGTTTTTACACAGGTTGGAATTCCAATAATTTTATATTCATTTCCCATATTCATTTTATTCACTGATTCATCTAAAGTTATTAAAGACAGAAGAAAATGCATATTCACTAAATGAACCTTGTACATGATCATGTGGTTCAAAAAGCCAGAACTAATAATAACAATTCAGTAGTTGAGTTTGGAGTATTTACTTTTGTTTAGCATAATATCCATATAGAGTTATGCTAATAATGTAAACTGATGCAATTTTATTGCTGATAAATTTTGATTCTTATGTGCAATGATGAATTAACTTCAAGAAGCATATGATATAGCAACTAGACAATCTTATATAATATGGCCAAAGAAAATAAAATTATTCTATATAACATGAAACATCTTTGCATTCAATGAAAAGGAATGTTAATAAAAATGACCTTATAGACCATTTAAGACTAGAAATCTTGGGGAGAGGACCCAAGATGGCCAACTAGGAACAGCTCAGGATTGCAGTTCCCAGTGAAAGCACAGAGGGTGAGTGAACGCTGCATTTCCAGATGGATTTTTATTGCCCACAGACCAGGAGATTCCCAGGTGGAGGAGCACCATGGGTCACCAGTGCGGCGGTTTTGGCCAGTGCAGCTGTTTTGGCCAGCACGACTACTTTGCCAGCGCCCTGGCACGCAGTTCTCTGTACAAAATACACTGGTCCGGGTGCCCTTTTAGCTGGCGATTGGAGACCTGGGAAGGCAGATCGCCCATCCATCTGATTTAAAAAGGAACTGAAACAGGGAGGCAGGCCAGGAGATTCCTGGGCAAAAAAAACTCCACAAATCTCAGCACCACTGTTTCAGCAGGCGCAGTGAGTTGCCACATGAGAAATCACACAGATCCTGATGCCTTTTCAACAGGTGAATGGAACACCTGGGAGAGAGTCGACCATTCAACTAAAAAAAAAAAAAAACAGACTCTGAGTCAGGCAGTCAGGTGATCAGGCTCAACTGGACCCATCCCCACAAAAAAAAAGAAAGAAAAAAGCAATTGAAAATGCTCTGGGTTGAGAGTTTCACAGCAACCACAGCTGAACCTAGGATGGTTCAGCTTTGAAGGGGAGGGGCGTCTGCCATTACCAAGACACTCCACCACTACGGAGGTAGTTCGCCATCACTGAGGCAGAGCGCCATTGCCTAGGCAACCCGCCGTTGCTGAGGCAATCTGCCATTACAGAGAGAGTCTGCCATTACAGAGATGGGCCATCATTGCCGAGGCAGTTCTAACTACACCCATACAAACAGGACTGCAGAGAAGATCATATGGCAGCTGGGTGGAGCTCACAGCAGCTCAGCAAAGCTTCTGCAGGCAGACAGTGACTAGGCTGCCTCCTCGCTGGGCAGGGCAGCCCTGAAAAAAAAAGGTAGCAGCACAACGGAAACTCATAAATAAAGCCCTAACTCCCTGGGACAGAGCATCTGGGGAAAAAAAAAAAAAAAAAAAAGAGTTTACGAGTTCTGCTGCAGCAGACCTAAACGTACCTGCCCAGCAACTCTGAATGAACAACGGCGCTCACAGCTCAGCACTTGATCTCCAATAAAGGACAGACTGTCTCCTCAAGCAGCTCCCTGACCCCCATATGTCCAAAAAGTCATCTCATAAAGGAGAGAACACACTGACATTTGGCGGGTATCACTCTGGGACAAATATAGCAGAGGAAGAAACTGGTAGCAACCCTTACTGTTCTGCAACTGCTGCAGGTGATCCCCAGGCAAGCAGGGCCTGGAGTGGACCTCAGCAGTCCTACAGCAGAGGGGCTAGACTGTTAGAAGGAAAACTAAGAAACAGAAATAACTTCATCATCCACAAACTGGAATTTCACCCAGAGACCCAATCTGAAAGTGAGCAACTACAAAGACAACAGGTGGATAAATCCACAAAGATGAGAAGAAACCAGTGCAAAAAGAATGAAAACACCCGAAACCAGAACACCTCTCCTCCTAACAAGGGATCACAACTCCTTGCCAGCAAGGGAACAAGGCTGGTTGGAGAATGAGTGTGATGAAATGACAGAATCGGACTTCAGAAGGTGGGTAATAAGAAACTTCTGTGAGCTAAAAGAACATGTTCTAATCCAATGCAAAGAAATGAAGAACCTTGAAAAAAGATTTGATGAAATGCTAATGAGAATGGACAACTTAGAAAGGAATATAAGTGAATTGATGGAGCTGAAAAACACAACACGAGAACTTTGCGAAACATGCACAAGTTTCAACAGCTGAATTGACCAAGCAGAAGAAAGGATCAACTCAGTGAAATAAAATGAAAAGGCAAGAATAGAGGAAAAAAGGGTAAAAAGGAATGAACAAAGTCTCCAAGAACTGTGGGACTATGTGAAAAGGCCTAATCTACATTTGATAGGTGTACCTGAATGTGACGAAGAGAATGAATCCAAGCCGGAAAATACTCTTCAGGATATTATCCAGGAAAACTTCCCCAACCAAGCAAGGCAGGCCAATATTCAAGTGCAGGTAATACAGAGAACACCACAAAGATATTCCTCAAGAAGAGCAACCCCAAGGCACATAATCGTCAGATTCACCAGGGTTGAAATGAAGGAGAAAATGCTAAGGGCAGCCAGAGAGAAAGGTCAGGTTACCCAAAAAAGGAAGGCCATCAGACTCTCAGCAGAAACCCTACAAGCCAGAAGAGAGTGGGGGCCAATATTCAACATCCTTAGAGAAAAGAACTTTCAACCCAGAATCTCCTAACCAGCCAAACTAAGCTTCAAATAAAATCCTTTGCGAACAAGCAAGTACTCAGAGATTTCATCACAACCAGACCTGCTTTACAAGAGCTCCTGAAAGAGACTCTACACATAGAAAGGAACAACCAGTACCAGCCACTCCAAAAACATACAAAATGGTAAAGAGCACCAGCACAATCAAGAATCTGCATCAACTAATGGGCAAAATAACCAGCTAGCATCAAAATGGCAGTATCAAATTCACACATAACAATATTAACCCTAAATGTAAATGGACTAAATGCCCCAATCAAAAGACACAGACTGACAAATTGAATAAAAAGCCAAAACCCATCGGTGTGCTGTATCCAGGAAACCCATCTCACATGCAAGGATACACATAGGCTCAAAATAAAGGGATGGAGGAAGATTTACCAAGCAAATGGAGAGCAAAAAAAAGCAAGAGTTGCAATTCTCGTCTCTGATAAAATAGACTTTAAAGCAAAAAAGATCAAAAGAGTCAAAGAAGGACATTACATAATGGTAAAAGGATCAATGCAACAAGAAGAGCTAACAATCCTAAATATATATGCACCCAATACTGGAGCACCCAGATACAAAAGGCAAGTTCTTAATGACTTACAAAGAGACTTAGACTCCCACACAATAATAGTGGGAGACTTTAACACCCCATTGTCAATATTAGACAGATCAATGAGACAGAAAATTAACAAGAATATCCAGGACTTGAACTCAGACCTGGAACAAGCAAACCTAATAGACATTTACAGAACTCTCCACCCCAAATCCACAGAATATACATTCTTCTCAGCACCACATCACACCTACTCTAAAATTGACCATGTAATTGGAAGCAAATCACTCCTCAGCAAATGCAAAAGAATGGAAATCATAACAAACAGTCTCTCAGACCACAGTGCAATCAAGTTAGAACTCAGAATGCAGAAACTAACTCAGAACTGCACAGCTTCATGGAAACTGAACAACTGGCTCTTGAATGTTGACTGGATAAACAATGAAATGAAGGCAGAAATAAAGATGTTCTTCGAAACCAATGAGAACAAAGACACAACATACCAGAATCTCTGGGACACATTTAAAGCAGTCTCTAGAGGAAAATATATAGCAATAAGTGCCCACATGAGAAGCAAGGATAGATTGAAAACTGACACCCTATCATCAAAATTGAAAGAGCTAGAGGAGCAAGATCAAAAAAACTTAAAACCTAGCAGAAGACAAGAAATAACTAAGATCAGAGCAGAACTGAAGGAGATAGAGACACAAAAAACCCTTCAAAAAATCAATAAATCCAGGAGCTGGTTTTTCAAAAAGATCAACAAAATAGACAGACCACTAGCCAGATTAATAAAAAAGAAAAGAGAGAATAACCAAATAGATGCAATAAAAACGATAAAGGGGATATGACCACAGATTCCACAGAAATTCAAACCATTATCAGAGATTACTACAAACAACTCTATGCACATAAACTAGTAAACCCGGAAGAAACGGATAAATTCCTGGACACTTGCCTCCTCCCAAGCCTAAACCAGGAAGAAGTCGAAACCCTGAATAGACCAATAATAAGGTCTGAAGTCGAGGCAGCAATTAAGAGCCTACCACCCAAAAAAAAGCCCAGGTACAGATGGGTTCACAGCCGAATTCTACCAGACATACAAAGAGGAGCTGGTACCATTCCTTCTGAAACTATTCCAAATAATCCAAAAGGAGGGAATCCTTCCCAAATCATTTTATGAGACCAACATCATCCTGATACCAAAACCCAGCAGAGACTCAATAAGAAAAGAAAACTTCAGGCCAATATCCATGATGAACATAGATGTGAAAATCTTCAATAAAATACTGGCAAGCCGATTGCAACAGCACATTGAAAAGCTTATCCACCATGACCAAGTAGGCTTCATCCCAGGGATGCAAGGCTGGTTCAACATACACAAGTCAATAAATGTAATTCACCACATAAATAGAACCAAAGACAAAAACCACATGATTATCTTCATTGATGCAGAGAAGGCCTTTAACAAAATTCAACAGCCTTTTATGCTAAAAACCCTCAATAAACTAGGGATTGACGGATCGTATCTCAAAATAATAAAAGCTATTTACGACAAACCAACAGCCAATATCATACGGAATGGGCAAAAACTGGAAGCATTCCCTTTGAAATCTGGCACTAGACAAGGATGCCCTCTCTCACCACTCCTATTCAATATAGTACTGGAAGTTCTAGCCAGAGCAATCAGGCAAGAAAAAGAAAATGTATTCAAATAGGAAAGGAGGAAGTCAAATTGTCTGTATTTGCAGACAACATGA